CGTGGCGTGGCCGGGGGGCGTGGCGTGGCCGGGGGCGGGGCGGGGCCGGGATGGCTTTCCTACTTGTTGCTGTATCTTCTTCCCTGGGGCACTGTGGGGCTGGGTATGGGCGCCCCGCCTCCTTAAGACACAGTTGGGACCAGGTCTCCATGCTTCCTCTGAGGTCCATCCTCTCTCAGAAGGCTCCGAAGGCGAGGGTTTCTGTCCTCTCTGTCCCTTCCCCATACGCCTGACCCTTCTCCAGAGCACTGTGAGGCTGGGTCTTTGCCCGTCCCCACACTCCTGCCTGCCCACACCAGGGCGCTGCGAGGCCATGCGCATGCTGCTGGCTGACCAGGGCCAGAGCTGGAAAGAGGAGGTGGTGACCAAGGAGACCTGGCTGCAGGGCCCTCTCAAGGCCTCCTGTGTGCGTACAGGTGTCCCGTGGGGGCGGCAAAACTAAGGTGGGGACAGCCAAGCGCAGCACCTCTGACAGAGCTGTGCCCCCCTCCAGCTGTTCGGGCAGCTCCCCAAGCTCCAGGATGGAGACCTCACTCTGTACCAGTCCAATGCCATCCTCCGCCACCTGGGCCGCTCCTTCGGTGAGTCCCGAGGTCAGAAGATGGCCAGTCCAGGAAAGTACCTGAGGGTTCCCAACAGGGTGTTCTGGGGCCTGAGCTGCTGCACCTGCAGCCACTAGGGTCTTGCCCGGCTGAAGGGCAGCCTGGAGGAAGGGGCAGGGACAGGGTTAGGAGGGCTCTGGATTATGGGGCTGGGCAGCCAGTCCACCTGGGCTGGGGCAATGCAGCTCAGGTGAACTCCCAGCCCAGCAGCACCAGATGGGTTCACGGTGCCCACTTCCTGGATGACAGCTCAGAGGAGGCCGCCAGCTGCCATGTGTGTGCTGGGGCAGGCTAGAGATCACTGCGAGTGTGGCCCGAGGTCCAAGTAGATCTTCTGCCTGTTTCTTCATGCTCTGGCCTCCTCAGAGTCTGGAAAATCCAGGGTTATAGAGGACAGGCCTGTGGTCGCAGGAACATGGCTTAGGGAGGTGGCTGCCTCTTTGGCCAGCCTGGGGTGGGTGGTGGGGGACAGAAAAGCCCCGGGTCCCAGAGGGACGCGGCAACTAACTTCTGTAGGGCCCAGGGTGAGGACAGAGGCCTGCTCTGCAGCCTGTCACCTCTTCCTGCCCCTGTGCTGTGGACACTTCGGCCCACACAGCCAGGTTCTGTCGAGCTTCATAAATGGCTCCCCTCAGGCCTAGGGAGGCACGCACAAGAGGCTTGGTCCACCCTTTCCGGGAACAGACTTGAGGGAGGGCACATGGGGCCAGGCCCCGGGGTGTGGCCTAGAAGGCAGGCACGGGCTTCACCCCGGTATTCCCCCTCGTACTCGAGGAGGTGGGAGCAGCAGTCGGTAGAGCAGGGCGCCAGAGCAAGGGACCTGGGTGCCTGGGCCTGAGGTCTGCGGGCTTTTGGGGGAGAGGAGAGCAGCAGATCACCAGCCCAGATGGAACCTGACCCGCTGCCTGGCCACTGACCAGGGCTCTACGGCAAAGACCAGCGGGAGGCGGCGCTGGTGGACATGGTGAACGACGGTGTGGCGGACCTCCGCAACCTCTGCGGCCACCTCATCCACCACGACTGTGTGAGCGGGGGCCTCGGCTGGTGTTCAGGGCCGGGGAGGGTGGCGGGGAGGTCACCCGGCCAGGCCCGCTGCATGCCACCACTGGGAACTCTGCCGTTCTCAGGAGGAGGACAAGGCCCGGTACATGCGGGACCTGCCAGAGCACCTGAAGCCTTTTGAGACGCTGCTGGCCCAGAACCAGGGGGGCCAGGCCTTCATTGTGGGCAACCAGGTGAGTGGCCGTCCCTGTCCTACCCCTGCAATGCCACCCTCTTCTTATAGACGGGAGGCAGGTACAGAGAGAGCACGTGAGCCATTTGTTGCTGGGCGGACCTAGGGGACGGCTCGGGCTCTTGGTCCCCCATCTCCCCAGACCCCTGCCTCCTCCCACCTGCTGCCCCCGACCCCTACCCTGCAGATCTCCTTCGCCGACTACAACCTGCTCGACTTGCTGCTGACCCACCAGGTCCTGACCCCCGGCTGCCTGGACGCCTTCCCCTTGCTCTCGGCCTACGTGGCCCGCCTCAGTGCCCGGCCCAAGCTCAAGGCCTTCCTGGCCTCCCCTGAGCACGTGAACCGCCCTGTCTTTGGAAGCCGCAAGACATGAACCCGCTTTGACCTCCCCTGGCAGAGTGGCTGTCCTTGGGAACCAATAAACAATGAGAGGAAAGCTGTGCTGTGGTCTCGGAGGGGCCAGGTGGGCATAGGGGACCCTCACCACTTCCCAGGCTGCCTCGGGGAGGGTGAGGGCCAGGCCGGGCATCTAGGCCCTGAACAGCAGATGCCACCAGGACACAGAGAAGTTCCAAGGTCAGAGAGGAAGATGAGACTCCACACCTCAAGGATGCACCAGGAGGACTTCCTGTAGGAGGGAGTTGACCCCGGCGGAGGCACTCTTGACTATAGCAAGCTGGAGAACCATCCCGATTTGAGAGAAGGGTGGCCATGAACGTAAAGGACAGTCCCTGCCATCTTCATGATGAGTCCCAATGTCTGGGCACACACTCGGGTGCTGTGCACAATATACACTAGGGAGTGACACACACACTTGGGTGTTTCACACATGCATAAGTGTTGCCCATTCTCGTGGGTTACTCACGGTCACCCCAGGAGGTGCTGCAGGTGGCCAGCAGGGCCAGGTGTGTGGCTGAAGGCAGGCCTGGAGCTCTGGGTGGCTTCCTGCTGCGTGGGGGCCCGAGTGGAGGGTGGAGGGTCTCCTTCGGCTTCGGGGAGCTTCTGTCAGCGCCCGTGGAGTGCCCCGCCCCCGCCCAGTCCCAGCCCATCTCTCTCTCCTGAAAGGCTGTGGCCACCTCCTGCCTGGCTCCCTCAACCCGCCTGGCACTTCTCATAGGCCATCTGGCAACGTAGAGTCGGACACTTCCAGAATGCCGGGCACCCTGCTGCCCTGTGGGCAAAACCCACAGCCTGACAAGCTTGCCAGGCCCCAGCTCTCCAGAACATTCCCCACCCTCCATGCCCCGTTCACCCCTGGAGCCACACGGTGTCAGCTCTCCAGACCACTGCTCTGCCCGTCTGCCTTTGTCCCTGTGACCCCCTCTCCTACCCCACCACCCACGGCCACACCCCTTCAGTGCCCACCGCGCTGCCCCTCCCCGGTGGCCCAGGTGTCCTGGCACTTCTGTCTGCCTCTCCTTCAACTCCGCTCTGTGGGGTTCCGGCTTTCCCGTGTCTCCCCTGGAACCTTTCTCCTGTGAGGTCAGAGGCTGGATCTGATTCATTCATATCCCCTGCCCCCAGACAGGGTGGCCGATTGACCTTTGCTGCTAACACCCCGCAGGAGCTGACTGCCTGCTGTGAGGCCACAGGGCCTCAGTACCACCGTCTCCCCTCTCTGTCATCGGCAGAGTCTGTTTTACAAGAGTCTCCTATCCGAGGCCCGTCTGAGTTCACAGGCCTGGTGCCCCCCTCCATGCTGTCCCCACGCTGGGGACCTAGACAGCTATCTCATCTAACCCCCCCGAAACTCAGAGAGGTGAGGCAACTTGTCCAAGGTCATACGGCTCCCAAACGGGAGAGCTGGGATTCAAACCCAGGTCTGAGTGAGTCCAGGCTTTTTCACGGTGGTCCTCAGACGGGATGAATGGAGGGGACTTGGAGGCCGGACAAGAGAGAAGGAGGCCAGTCCCAGGGGCAGGACTGGCCCAGGCATGGCAGGTGGCCGAGGCTTCTTGGGGGTGGAGTGGGCAGGGGCACTGGTGTCACTGTGGTAGCCTTGCCTGCCAAGGCTGAGGACTTGGAGCTGACTCGCAGGGAACTGGGGGCCACCGCAGGCTTTGGAGCAGAAAAGATGACTTGTGAGTGTGAAGGAGGCCTTGGGCACCGCCCAAGCCAATGCCTTTACCTTACAGACGGGGAAACTGAGGCCCCTGAGGGGGGATGGATTTCCCAGGTTCACTGAGCGGTGGGTAGGTGGGGCTGGAGGCCTGGAGGCCTAGCTGCCCCTTAAAGGGGCCTCTGCCCGACTGACTTCAAACAGAGCCCCTGTGTGGGTCGCTGATTGGCAGTTTAGGTTCTAGAGGGGCAGAGCCGGGCGCTTTGGGTGGGATTGCCCCGGGAAGGGCCCGTCGGTCCCCGGGGGGAAAGAGGTGGAACCCTGAAGCACCCACTGCCCCAAAGGCAAAGACTTCCGCCTGGTGGGGGTCTGCTGCCCCAGGGGGTTTCACGACTCATCCCCCCGCTCCCTGAGCCCCTGTGCCCCCTTGCGAGCTGCCTGAGGCCCTCCACTACCTGGGCGACCTGGCCCAGTGGCTGATCCTCTCTGAGCCCGTTTCCTCTGTGACAGCCCACGTGGTCACGGGGTAGTGCCACACAGCTCACAGAGCACCTCCCGTGTGCCAGGCACTTGGCAAGTCTTAAGACCTCATTTTACAGATGAGAAAACTGAGGTCAGAGCTGGAATTTGCACCAGGCAGGCTGACCACCAAGCCTACATTTTTTCCCAATTGGCCCCAGAAAATGCTTTCAAATGTGCCATGGATGATTAACGTGATCAATGAAGTGGTTATTTAAAATGTTAATGTTAGGTAAATGTTCACTATCCTGATTAAAATCAAGGCAAAGCCAAGGGGAGTTCTAGAAGCAAGAGATTAAATAGGTTGCATCTAACCCCTGGCCTGCTTTGCTGTTTGCTGTCACCAGGCTCTGCAAACGTGGGGACGAGTGGCCGTCCCTGACGAAGTAAACATGTGCCCTCCCCTAAGAGCTACCGAGTGTCTGTGTGGAAGCTACTCTTGGCAACAAAACCACACTTGAGCTCCAACCCTTTCTGTTGGAAGACTGTGGACGGGACGAGGGGGGAGCCTTGTGTCTCCCGATGGGACAAGGTCGGGAAAACAGGCGAGGGTCCTGCCGGCATGAGCCTTGTGTGTTATAAACCTCGTTGTTAAGAGTGGCGCCCAGGGGAGGAAATAAAACGAGGAGGTTTGTTGCACCCGTCTGCTGTGTCCACGACTGGATCTGGCTCGAGGGTGTGTCAACAATGAGAAGGGGGTGGCCTCCCAGAGCCCCGGGCTCTGTACGATTACGTCCTCGAATAGACCCAGCGATTAGGCCACACCTGAGGAAAGTTGCCCTTCTGAGAGTCTGAAGCCGTTGTTTTTCCTGTCGTTCTAAAAATAGGGCCACTGCGACTTCGGCTCATTAATCCAGCCAAGGCAGAGTTGTACGCACAACTAGGATGGCCACTCAGCTCCCACCTGGCAACCCCCACCAGACCCCATCGTCCCCTGCTGCTACCAGGCCCTGTCCTCCAGACATAAGGGCCCGAGCCCAGCCACTCACCAAGCTGCAGCCCCAGGCACAGCACTTGGTCCCGGCAGTGAGCGCGCGAACAGAAACGGGTCCACCGGAGCCCTGCCTGACCCGCCGCGCTCAGCAGCTGGCCAGGTGCCAAGAGCACCCTCTGAGGCTGGAGCGTTCTCTTCTGTTCGAGAGGCTGTGAGCTTGTGAGTTCAGACAGCCTGGGGTTGGTTATAGCTAAGAGAGTTGAGCCCATACACAGAGAAAAGGGGTGTGTGTGTGTGTGTGTGTGTGTGTGTGTGTGTGTGAGAAAGAGAGACAGAGAGACTGACAGGGAGAAACAGAGAGACAGATAGAGAGAGAGAGAGAGAGCTTTTTAGGTCCATACTTCCAGGCGCTGAGAGGCCAGTTCCACTCTGCCCTTCCCCTGCTTTGTTCCCGTGAGCCCATAAATGCTGCTCTCTCTCGGAGCTGAGTTTCTGTGACTTCAGCTGAAAAAGACTGTGATAGTCTCAAAATATGGTCACAAACCCTTTGACGATTTTAACCTCAACATTTGGAACCCGATTTCCTACCCACTGAGTGTGACTGGATGCGGTGACCGGCTGCTAACTTGTAGGGGCGGGGGAGGTGACGGAATGCGACGTCCAGGCCTCAGTCGTAAGAGGCTCTGAGGCTCGCTCCTGCGCCCTCTCTTGGATCACGTGCTCTGGGGAAAGCCAGGGGCCACATCGTGAGGACACTCAAGCAGCTCTGTGGAGAGGCTCAGGTGTTGAGGGACTGAGGCTTCCTGCCAACGCCAGCACGAAATCACCGTCCACGCAAGTTGCCTTGAGAGGGAACCCTCCAGCCCCAGTCAGGCCTTCGGATGCTGCAACCCCAGCCGCCATCCTGACTGCAGCCAAATGAGACATTGTATTAACCATGGCTTGTATTTTCTGCATTCTGATGCTCTGACGTTTGGGGCCGTGCTGACCTGGAGGGACTGTCCCTCCCAGGGTTAGCTAATCCCTAGAGATGGTAAACACTTGCCCGAGAGCACGACTTTTAGACACGATCTCGCAGATTCAGAGCCCGCACCCCCAACTGCCTCCTTTATTGGGCTCTCACACACTGGGCCACTATCCCTGCCCTGACCATCCAAGGCCAGGGGCAGCCTCTGTGCCCCAGAGCCTGCTGAAATTGTCCAAACTAGCCACTCCTCCGCCCGCTCACCCTACCTATCATGGAAACCACAATAAAGGTGCTCGCCCACAGGTCCCCATCTCCCCCTGCCTCCCGGTGACCCCGGTGCTTCCTGGTATGGCTCCTGTGGTGTGGCGTGCCCTGTTCTCTTGGGATCTGTGAGTAATAAACTATCTTTTTGATGGCAGTTGTTTCTTGATCAGTTGGCCTTGCCACACCCGAACAATAACAAAACCTATATTTAAAAGAGACCTCTGCACAGCAACGCTCAGTCACACCCCTCTTGAATTGCTGACTCAGAAACAGAGATAGATGCTTGTTGTTTTAAGCGGCTGAACTTTGAGGTAATCTGTTTGGCAGCAATAGAGAACTATATGGAGTCAGAACCGAGCCAACACCATCCGGGGCAGATGGGTTGCAGCTTTTAAGGTTCATGGGGCTAGGGAGGCGCTCTGTGGTTCGAGGAGCTGGTTTCCTGTTTCCTCTGGTTACGGTTTGAGGTCCCCAAGGTTGCTCGGCGGAGGAGAGGGCCAGTGCTTGGGACAAAGGCACGACCTTCAAACGAGAGCGTTTCCCTCGATGACCCCAGTTTCTTGTCGTGGACCCACGGAGGCTTAGCAGCCCAACGCACATGCCATGTGATCAGTGCTCAACGAACGGCTGAAAACAATTTTTGTAAGAACCCGGCTGTGCAGATATCATCACCATTTGCTTTGGTGCTGTCTC